CATCTTAATAATAATATGTTAAATGATTCAAAACGTCAACGTTACAAATAGTTTGGAGTAGGGAATAAATTAAAACGTTGCAGAAGCTTGAAATGTTTAAAAACACGTGGGTCAAAGACCCGAAAATGTTCAAGTTGATTTAGTAATAAAGATAATAAGATGGAATAGTTCCCATACCATGCTACCAGCTCTTCCGTCTCAGCACCCTCTGGGATCGACTCCATCACTTTTCTTACTTATGCACAGTCACACAACAAATACAACTGTACACTCAGCAAAACCGCTGGGTGGTACCACAACGTAAATTCTTTAGGATAACTTATAATCACATTATACAAGTCAATTGAATAATTATGAGAAATTAATTGTTTCAATTTCATAAATCCATTAAATCATATTAAAGAATTAAGTCATGCCTTAATCATTTTCCATCATTTAGTCCTTTTAATTCTGGCCATCTAAAGAGTCAATCTCCGTAGAGAAAGAACTCGATAAGACTTCCCCTATTTGAGTTTGGGTCCGAGTGTGCTTCTCTTCAGGTTCACTGTGATGCATAATAATTTAAATTTTACTAAAAATCTATGAGTTTTGGAACGCATATCCGTTTATTTGTATCAGATATTACATTCAGATACGGATCTTGGTGAATGCTAAAAATCAAAACTGTATCTGCATCCTTCGGATGTTGAATATATTTGTATCCGTTTATAAATTCTCAAAGTCAAAATAAAGTGTACGGAGTAGCATATATAAATACTTTTAATATATTAGTTCAATTAAAAAGTGTCTCATAATAGTATTTTTCTTACTTTTTGTAATCTATACTATTCTACTAAAATCACATATGGTAAAAAGTATTACATGCTACATATACACGTATTTGTTCATATACACATGTATTTTAGATATAAAAATGACTAGTACTTTGAGAAGTTAATTAGAAAAACAAAATATATAAACAGAAATTTGGAGAAAACTATTTATAACGGTTCAAGTACACGAATAAAAGGTTACTCAAAAGAATGTAGATGCGGAACAGATTATAAACGAAATTGGATATATGATTATCAAATTCATATTCTTTACGAATCGAATGTCCTTAATCAATCGGACACGGATAATAACTACTTCAAATGGACACAAATATTTTTCGTTTAAACATAACCGAATGCGGGTGAGAATCGAATGTTCGATTATCCATCTACTGCGAAGTGATGATGGGTAGGAAAAGCATCTATCACAATCAATCTGTGGTGCAGGGGGGTGAATTCCTGATCAGTGCAATTTTTTAAAAATCATTCCCAACAAGTGAAGGTGAATCTGACATAATTTTTTTCAAACGGTAGATCATCTACCGTTTGGTCTTTTAAATTTTCCAAACGGTAGATAATCTACCGTTTGGTCATAATTTTATTTTTTAAATTTAAAAAAATTATTTATTTTTTTTGTTATTTTCCTTTTCCATCATCCCTGATGGAGCCAAAATTTCACTATTTTTTGGCTTTGGGGTGTGATAGAATAAATCAAAATGGATCTCTAAACTATCTGCGCTTTTTTAATTAATGAAGTAGCAGTTAGTCAAGCAATGCAACTTTCGATGTTGAGCTGGGGGTCTCTTTGGAAACAACCTCTCTACTTTCAAGTAGGGGCAAGGTCTGCGTACACACACCCTCCCCAGACTCTACTCTTGTGGGATTTAACTGGGTTGTTGTTGTTATTTTAAATAAATCTAAATAGATTTTTTAAAATAAAAAGATTTCATAGATTTAAATCCACGTACATATGTATATGTTGATTGATATATAATAATATTATGAGACTGTCAAAAGTGCTACTTGAAAATAAAAGTACTCCTCCAAGCTAAAATTATCTTCCCGTTTGTATTTACGAGTTTTGAGCGATTTTATTTTCAATTCAACTTATTTAATTGTAGGTGTAAAATTAAAAAATAAAATTTATATATTTAAAAACTGCATCAAAAGTTCTACAAAATAAAGTGTGACAATACTATTATTTTATTTAATTTGAAGTCTAAGTTTACCAATTTTGACCGAAAAAAATAAAAAGTGAACAAAAATACTCAAGGACAGAGGAAGCAAAAAATAATAGATTGAAAAAGTATTCAATGTAAACCATAAATAATTATTTTTAACATCTAGCATAATAACTAAAATGATAATCTAAAAAATGTCTATGAGTCGAAGTCATTGTCGAGTGAATGTCGTGGAACTATGAATTGACTTTCCGTATCACACCGCCTACCGCGTATTTGTCGTTGTGGCCGACGATGAACCAATGATGTACTTTGCTCTAAAGGATCTTGTATTTTATTCCCTTGAGTCAAGTGTGAAAAAAAGTCTTCAAATAGGATATCTGGCGGAACTCAGGGCGGTGGAGCGTTTAGACTCATTAGAGTGGATAACCATAGCCTTGATCTGGACATTATGCATCATGCTTAGGCTTTGATACTAAAGATTATGGGAGGAGCTTTGTTTACGAGCATTAGTTAACACTACACAGATTGGAGGGTCACTTGTTCTACTACAGATTAGGGCTTGGGAGCACATTCCAATGTGTAGACCACAGGTTCTATTACACTTGGATGACATCGTTGGAGCACCTTTTCAGTGTTAGGCAATGTATTTCGTACATTC